CTCTCTCTCTCTCTCTCTCTCTCTCTCTCTCTCTCTCTCTCTCTCTCAGACAGACAAGCTCACAAGTCTCTCAGCTCCCACAGACGCACAGCCTCGGGTATAGTGGAGGAAAATCTGTGGCGGAAACATGAGCAGCATTGGATTCATTAGAACGTGTAACGAGAAGCAGACTGGTTGGTCCAGTTGTGGACACATGGGGAACAGGCAGCAAGGAAGCACAAGTTAATTATTCTGTAACAGCAGCGGACTGCCAGCATCAAGTAATGGAATAAGTAACTTATGTGTTAAATATTGATTCTAAACATGCAGATTACTGTGGCCACATAAAGTACAGGACAGGGAAACTGTAAAACACAATGATGTGGGACAGAATAAAGACAGTGATTTACTGTCTCTATGTGAAGACAAAGCTTAAAAGAGATATTCTAACAACACTATACGAATACAAAGATGTCTTGCTGAAGCATTCCACCAATTTTAAGGAACAAATGTGCAAAACTTTCTTCTGGACATCTACTTGGTTAATCTACCTGAAACACTGCTGCAGCCAATTAGCATCCGTTTTTAGTTCAGAGTCAAATGTTTGAGGAAGATCTTAACCGATCGAAACGTTGACTTAAAAGAGTGAGAGAAATAAACTATTCATTTGGAGCCTAACAGTGTCCTTTGTGCCCTCCAAGTAAATGTGAACTCGTACGTCCACACTCTTCAGGACCAAGTTGGAGTTCAGTATCTCGCTATTTTTTTAAATAAGTATTATATGCCATGGCACATAAAATGGACCCTTTCTTCATCAATCTATATATTCTTGTTCAGTGAGACTCAAAATTGTCACCTGAGCGATTCCTGGATCGATGACAGAAAATACACAGATCACACCAAACTACGCTGCAGTGGGTCTCTTACCTGGTGTGTCTGTTCTTTGGAGACAAGGATCCTTTTTCTAATTTAGCATAAAACGTGGATGAGCTTACTGAAGAGCTCTGCAGCAGTGAGGAAGCTGTTAATTAAAGAATGTAGAAATATTTTGAAACTTTACAAATGGCGAACAGTTTTATTCTTCAAACAGCAGAGAATATATGACATGTGAAACAGAGACAGACAAAGTGGTGTACCACAATGGAAGAGTGTGTGTGTGTGTGTGTGTGTGTGTGTGTGTGTGTGTGTGTGAGTGTGTGTGTGTGTGTGTGTGTGTGGTTGTTGTGGCTGGGCTCACCTCTAATCCATTTTTGCTTGTGGGACAGAGGGAATTGCCGATGGCATTACTGTACCATTCAGTATGGATCCTAATGAGGGACACATCCTCCCCACTTTTGTATTTGACCCAATTTAATCCCCACCTGTGTGTTTCACATTCTACCTTTTATGTATTACACGCAGTAACAAAAAGACATCCACCACCTCTCCAGCTCTGAGGGGAAACTATTTTTCTTCTCAATGTGCTGTTTGGTTAAAGTCCTCAGAGAGCGATATATGTTGTACATATATGTGTCTTTCTATGGGTATGAGTTATAAACAGGAACATAGAGTTTGACAAAAGAAATTATAACTCACGGTCTACTTACTACCTTTTCCCAGAGCTTTATCCGCATCTCAATGTCTTCATCCATTAGTGCAGTTTGTTGAGATTGTAACTTTTGTCTCCTGGATCTTTTTTGCAGCCGTCTACTCATTCCTTGAAAACAGAGAATGTCGTATTCATTTTCAGGTTAAAATGTGCATCAAAAATGGGAAAGTCAGCACCTTTCAAAGTAAAGATGTGTTTACACAGGTCGAATACCAAAGAGAGCCCATATAACTGTTGCTGAACAGTGCCCACTGGAGCCACAAGAGACAATTACAGGATAATGGTAAGTGCTGAAAAAAAGAAGTCAACCTTCTTTTGAATTCAACTTTTTATTCTCAAGAAGATGAATGTGTTATTTGTGCAAAAGTTATAAAGTGTCTTTTGGACATGACCTCGGAATTTGGTATTTTCACAAAAGAAAGACAATTAGCATCTAATTGAGTTATTTCATGTAACCTATTAATATATTTACACACTTTTAACGCAAGAGCCCCATTAAATAATCTTAATTCAATCAATATAAATGTAATCAAATGTATATTAATCAATTAATTAATTTAAACATAGTGCAAAATTTTTTTAATTCCTGCCTGAAGAAGAACAATCTCCACATAAATGTTGTTTTTCTCATCCAATGAACACCATAAAAGTCCTCTATTCCTGAAGAGCCCTCTTTACTTCCTTGTTTCCACGGTCATTCAAAGTAGAAGCAATTAGCAGTAAAACTGTGGGAGCAGAATGATGTAACAGAACCAAGAAACGTTAATTAACCTGCATAAAAAAAGACGACTTTCTCTTAACTTACTCCTACGATTTAGTTTCAAACTAGAATGTTTACTAAAACAAGTCAGACAGAAATTAAACACAGAATAGTCTAGTTTTCATTGTAAACAGACTACTTTTTTTTTTTTTACAATAATAGAGTCAATATTCTATCAAGATGTAGTTTTTACACAATGCACAATAATTTCACTCAATATATCATTACAAACAGGCAGTTCTTACGAAACAACAATCCCATTAAGAATTTTACAATAATTGCAAGCAAAATGTTCCAAACAACAATAACTGCTGCATATAATCCACACCTATACCACCCAAAAGGGATATTAGTGTGATGTAAAATACTGTCCATCCAAACAGAGTCCAAGATGGCGTCTTCAAATGTCTTATTTTGTCCAACTAATAATCTAAACCCCCAAAATACTTAATTTAAAATACAATCAAACCGAGAAAAGCAGCAAATCAACCCATTTGTGAAGCTGGAATCAGCAAATATTTGGCATTTTGATTTATCACAATACTGTAACTAACCTATCTGTTTACTGGATAGTTAGTTTGACGTTTCTGCCATTGTTATCACTGTAGCTAAGTTACAAAGGAAAAACTAGTCTACATAAACTACTGTTGTGGCATTGTGCGCGGTGTGCATGTTTGTCCTCCTTGTTTTGCAGCAAAGATCAAACCAGCCAGCCTCAACAAGGGACTAAACAATGTACAGATGTATTAAATAGAACTACAGAAAAACGTGACCATGTAACGTAACCCCTGACCGCCGGCGTTCCTTTGCGTCATTTTGCCGGGAATGTTGGACCACGTGTCTCCGGCCGGCGTGCTTGTTCCTCTAATGCGCGATTCACTACTTTTCATTCTGAAACGAGTCAGGGCAGGGAGTGTAGGAGCAAGATGGCGGCGCGCTGGGGAGCAGGCGAAGAGACTTTAACTGCGTGCAATATGACATTTTTCCCAATGGATACACTAGACGAGGTAAAGCATTTGTTCAACACTTTATTTCCTTTCATGTGATCCTAATGGTTAGTTCTTTAGTGTGTGTTGAGAAGCGGGACAGAGCGTGTTGTGTGGACGAGCTGTACTCTGCGCATGGAAAAGTGACACGTGGATGCCACCGTAGTATCTAGAGTAAAACTTATTTAAAAGATGTACGTATTGTTTTGTGACGTTTACAGCTAGACATGTCTTTCGTGGTGTATTAATTAAATAATGCATAATGCGTCACTCTTAAATGTGCTGTTGTCTTTTAGCTATACGTTAACGCTAGCTGTGAGTCAGTGTAGCTTGACTGGCTGGTTAGTGAACGACACAGGTTTCCTCCCTTATAATACTAATATTTGTTTAAACATGTGAAGTGACAGTTGTGTATTTTTGTTGGCGGTTGGCCTGGCATGGTCACCAGTTGTATAATCATTATGAGTAATGCGCATTTAAGCTCAATCAACGTGCATAAGTAATGTCTGTACTGTTAATCTCATCAAACACGCGTGGCAATAAACAAGGCGGGATGCGAGTCACGAGCGGTTTTTATCACAACGGATTGTATGCTTCGCTGCTCTATTCCCGTTTTGATTGACCGTGGTTGAGGTAACGTTTGCGTTTATTCTGCCATTGTTTAGTTTTAAGGCTCCGTGCCAGCACGTTGCAGTGATGTGTCATCATGGTGTCATGATGCACACAATGATGAAGCTCTTGTATTTTAAGACACTGACTGCACTCTTTAAAGTAACGCACACCTGGGTGGTTATTCCCTCTATCACTGTAGCTGCACACCACGTTTTCATTCATAGCCTGTGTGTATCCGCATGTGGTTCAGTCGTGGTGGATCACATGTTGGCTTCCTTCGCGCATGCGCAGCAGGCACTGTGTATTTAACCTCTTCACACGCCCGTCCGTTGAGTTTATAAATGGCTACATTGTGGTTTTAAACGTTTGGTGTAAAATGTGTATTTAAATATTGCGTACCATTTGGTAATTGTTAAAATATCGCACAGGAGCAGAGACGAGGGCCCTGCGCGTGTTTGTTGTAGTGCAACATGTGGGCTAGGTAGCCTCCCTATGGACGGGGTGAGGCTAGGATCAAATATGTCTGCGCACTGTGCGTGCATGTGTCGATACCAACACGTGGGTTACTGTAAGACTTCTGCGTTATTTCGTCAAAGTGCATCCTGTTATCGGTTATGGCTGCTTATAAAAGGCGGTTGTGTGCTTGATGTAGTGTAGTTACGCATACTCTTAAAATATACAGAGTTGTTATACACTAGCTGAGCCTACAATCACATGGAATATTCCACTTTTCAACTATATATTGAATTTTGTATTTCTTTAAATCTGTATTTAAAATGTAACTATATCAGACTTACAGATGTTGTCCTTTGAATTGTCTTGGAAAAGATTCTTTGTTAAGCTATTTAATGTATAGTTATCATTTATATAGCTAATCTAAGTGTACATTGGAGTCTTGCATGCTCGATTGATGCTTGCTTTAATGCTCTTGCATATTTCATATTATAGGAAAATGCCTCCATAGTTCCAGTTGAAATGGAAACACACCCCAGTGGTCTTCTTCATATGATAAGACAGGATGTTTACCTAGTGGAACAGATCTCTGATCTGTTAAGTCAATTATGTACTTGCAGATATTTGTTTTGCCTGAATCGTGTTGTTTTTGTCAGTTGTCTTTTTGCCAACGTGTTTTTATTTACCCTCTAGACTGATGTACTGAGCTCTGCCGAAACTCTGGAGGCCCTTCAAAGCTACTTAGACCCCTCCATTTTTTCTATCTTTGAGGACACACCAACAGCAGAGGCAAGACAAATTTCACATGTTTTGAAATAAGTGTTGCAGTAGCATGAGATGGTAAATTTGTTTGTTTATACTCACATTGACTTAATTTCCATGTGTATATTTAGACTAAAGGTCTAGACGAGGAGAGCGAAGCCACGCTGCTGACTGCCCTGACGGAGATCCTTGACAATGTGGATGATGAGAACTTGTCCCCGTTTGACACACTACCTGACTCAGACCTGCTGTCCGGTCAGAAGGGCAGGGAACATTCTCCGGTTAGTGCCCAGCTGTCATACACGACTCTGAAATTCCCCCATCTAGCCCTTGTGCAAAGCGGGTGGAAGGACCACTGCCTGACCTGTCGTTCTTAATATAGTGTAGTTTATTTATGTTGGTCTACAAATGCAGTCGTCAATGCTTTTTGTTTATCTTTCACTCTCTAGCTCAGGAGATTGCTGTGTCTGTCCCGTTCCCCCCCAGAGAAGGACACACTATGTAACACCAGAGCCATATCAACTGGAAAGGTAGCTTTTCTCGCTCAATAGCACTGTATATTAATTTGTACAGCAGACTTATTTCTGAATTATATATTTGTTTCCCCCTCAGACCCTCCCCAGGATACTCGCAGACTCTCACCAGAGAAGTGATGGGGAGGAGGAGGAAGATGGCTCCCTCACTCTGAGCCCAGCGAGTCTTGATTCGTCTCCTGACGGTGACAAGCTCCACTGGGATGGTCTGACCCTCCCGCTTCCCGTCACCTTCAAGCAGGAGGTCGAAGGCGGTGTTTCAGTTAGCCTGGGGGACTTCATCAGGCACATGCACCCGTACTGTATGGCCATTTGTATGGAGGATGACGAGGGGGAACAGATGTTGCCCGAAGGAGGAATCTTACTTGAAGTTGTGGACCAGGGTGAAAATGGAGAACCCATCCTGGCCATCCCAGACATGGATCTTTCGCTCTCTCCTCCACTTAAAGAGCAGTCTTCTGAAAATATGCGGATCGTTTCAGATGAAGCAGAAGAAGTGGCCTCTGACAGCTCGGAGCATATCGTCGTTGACGATGAAGATGAGGCTCCAGTGCAAGTTGCAGCCCCTTTGACTCACTACATTTGTTCAGACGTGAAAGGCAACCTGGTCATTAAGAAACAAAAGGAAGAGATAAAAGGGAGAAGCCCCTCCCACAGGAAAAAGAAAAAGAAATGCAAGGAACGGTGCCAACCCAAACCTGTGGAGGGAAGGGTCCTTAGGAGTAGCACCGTAAGAAAGACGGGACAGCAATCTCCCAAAAAGCTTGAAAAACGACCTCTCAAAGAAGAGAAGAAACACAAAGTCCCAAAGGTTCCTCTTGCCTCAACTCCAGCTTCTTCCTCTGTAAAACCTAAGAAACCAAATCTATGCCAAACTGAAACAAAAATCACCACTACAACACTATTGCCCGTGATGAAGGTGCAAGTTGCAACACCTGTGTCAACCAGACAGGAAATAGTGCCGTTAAATACTAGCCTTGAGAAGAGTCGGCCTAGCTGTTCCCCCACACCCGTGATCTCCCAACTACCCGATGAAGCGCCTGAACAGTGTTCCCTGGCCCCTGAGAAGCTGGAAGATTCATCAGCAGCTCCCTCTGCTGTCCTGCCCCCGTTGTCTTTGGGGAGCCCTGCAGCTGCTTCTAGTCCGGCTGAACCCCAGCTGACGCCAACCCTCCCTCCTGTGGCCCCTGCAGTCTCGGATCCAAAGCCCAAATCACTCAGTCTAGCAGAGTACCGGCAACTCCGGCAGCAGAAAAAGCCGGCTCCGGTGGAAAAACAAGAAAACAGCACTAAGTGGCCCAGCCTCCCAGAGCTCCCCAAAGAGCTTCCCCCTCTTCCCTGCTTGCCTGGCCCCAGCCCCAAGGATCTCCGACGCCCCAACCCCCAGGCAGAAGTGGAAGAGGTTAGACCTGCCTGGCAGCCACGGGGACCGTATGCACCACCGACCCCTGAGGCGCTGTTGGTGCCACCGGCCTACATGGCTGCCTCATCCAGCAAGGTTACTCCTGTCCCTAAACAACAGCCAAAACCTGAACCTTCGACAACGTCTGTATCCCAAAAGCCCTCAACCCTGGCCTTTAATTCGGAGAGCAATTTACCCTCGCATCAGCACACCACTGCTCAACCTGTAGTACCTTGTGTGCCTCAAAGCTCTGGGTCTCCAGCTTCTTTAAAAGCTGCCACTGTGTTATTGTCATCGGCAAATGGGAAGTGCTCTCCTGCACCTTCAGGAGAAAAGAGTGGAGTTGATGAAAGGTCTCAATCTGCATCTCTTGAGTCTGTAGAGCTTCCTAAAACCTGTCTTAAAACCACTACAGATGCGATCCAAGCTGCGTCTGTGACCAGTGCCCCCCAAAAGACCATTGTTTTTCAGAAGGTGCCTAAGCTTACCGCTCCTGTGTCGGTTAGTAACCCCATCACACCTGAGAGCAAGTCCTCCAAACCCCCAGCCAATAGTACCCAGCTCAGTTCTCCAGTCACCCATCCCTCAGACTCCCAGAGTGTAAAGGCCAAACCTGTACTTGAAACTAAAGAGAAACCTGCTACAGCAGTGAAACCCCAAAGGGCAAAGAACCCCACCCAGGAGCTGATCGAGGCCTTCACCAGTGAGATAGGTGAGCTTAAAATTGATCGTGCGTTTTGATTATAAAGTTTTGTTTTGTTCATAAAATGCTGACTACAATGACCTACAAAGTCCTTGCTAAAGAAACCTGCTTTGTCAGTGCCTCATCTCTGCTGCTCTGCAGCTCTAGCCCATATTTAATCTGCTCCAGTGATTGGCTGGTGTGCAGGAACCCCACAACGGAAATGATTTAGGAAAGGCAGTGTCTGCCGGTAGTGCAGTAAAATAATAATTAGCCCTCTGTAGCTTCATCATTCTAGTCATTCTACACATGTCTGTCACCACTTTAATTTAGCCTGCATCCTGTTTATTGTCTGTCCCATCTTATCTGTTAAATAAGTATAACTTTTTTATATATATATATATATATATATATATATATATATATATATAC